AGATAGATATAGAAGAATTTTGATCTTTATATATTTAACAGCTGCTAACCCTTCATCTACCTTCTACCCCTTCACTCTTTGTCGGCACTTTTTTTCATAAACAACTGCTCCTTTCCGAGTAATCTTGCCGACATCTACAGATATAATCATATTCTTGATAATGAAGTGTTTATTACGTGTTTGCACTGCTGTGCCGCTTCTTTGGTTCAAAATAAAACCTGAATTGTATTTTAATGTTTATTAATAAAAACAACCTCAATAAAATTAGTTAATAATTAAAATTAATATTAATGATTACATTTATGTTTACGCTGATCAAATAAATTTATTTATGTTATTGTTACGTGAGATTTGATGATAAATGTTTATTTGACTGATCGTTTTGACTGAAGTGTAATGGTTTATTCAAAATTTAAAGTCTCTTCTCTTTATTACTGTTTTCCCTCCAAGCGGGTGGTAACGATACCTGCTTGGGGTTTCCCAGAAATATACGTTTCAAGGCTATTTCTTAATATGTATTTGAATTTTAATCAGGGGCGAGTACTAGAATGGTTAGTTACTGTATTTACAATCCAAGACGACAAAGGGTAACGGTAACAAACCGCTGTATCCCAAAACGGCCAAATAAAAACGAATTCAATGAATTTGACAAGTGTTTAGACCATTGCTTAGCATTCGGGAGGACGCCGGTTCGATTCCGGGTCCGTCTGCCTTGGTCCAAGTTTTTCTGTGGTTTCCTTGGATCACTTAAGCAAATGCTGGGGCAGTAATATTCCACAGATAATCTTTCATTCTCTTCTGTCTTCATTTCGTCCGTCTCAACTTTCTCACCCGAACCACCACCCACCCATTCCCACGATTCCTGAAAGCAGGCTGAAGAGGGCCTTCCGCCCTACCTTCCGGCGTAGTCCGGAGGGACTGCCCGCCCACCAGCATTACTGGCTGGTGGGAATGAAACACCCAAAAGTTTTTTTAAAAAATTTGACAAGTATAGTGTTGATCTTTATACGGAGTTTCTGTTTCTAATAAGACCAATTTCTAAAATTTAGATTTTTGACTGTACCTTGAGCTCATATTTTAAACTTTAAACTAACGCTCGTATTAAGTTTTTTAAATTATTATTGTGGATTATTATAATTCAGGTAATTTCTTTTTATTGTTTTTGATCTTAGTAGACTATCTATTAATTTTCAATCTGACTATGCGAATTCATACTACATTAAATTTTAAATTATTGTAAACCAAAACTAATGGCATCCAAAACTCTACTTCAAACCCATTTGCTCTCATTGAATATAAATTGGCAATTCGAATATGGATGGCATGGCAGTGGGTATTATAAACGAATTATAACTGCAGCGTTCCTATTAAATGTGATTTACATCAAGATTATCCAAAATGGTTTTCTCGCAACTCGTTTTGTTTAATTCCATCCACTGTATGCACAAATAATGTCGGCGATTATTGTAAAATTAATCAGACTGAAATTTCATCAAATCAAAAATCATTTCCTTCTATTATTTGTTCGATTTTGCAATTCATTTTTCCATTTATTTACTAAAAAAAATGATTTCTGTACCATATTGTATAATATAATTTCTTATTAACTTTATCTGCAATTAAGTGATTACAAAAGATAAAATAATCATAAAATTTGGCAGGCCGTTTTGGACGAGCGACGGAATTTCGATTGACAAACACTTATCAGGGACCTAACTGCGGACCAAATTTCGGAGGGGTGATGAAGAGTACAATTCTCAAGATGTTTTTACATGCGTTTACATTAATACTTTTACATATCTCGTCATTCATAATAATAATACTAAATAAAAACTATATCTCTACACTTCCCTAGACAAAAACTTTCAGTTTCTCTCCAGTCTCTCAGAGTCTTTCAAAGTCTTTCAGAGTCTCTGAGAGCGTCTCTCACATTTTTTCACAGTCTCTCAGTTATTGCCTAGGTGTTTTTATTGATATCTCATAGTCTCTGTATGAGAGACTCGGACGATAAAATTGTTAATTCAGAGATTTGAGTCTCTCACAGAGAGACTGAATGAATAAAACTGAAAAATTGAGATACTCGAGTCTCTCGTAGAAAGACTGGGATCTCTGAAATATGTTGAACTTGGAAAACCATGTCTATCGAGACGCCCCTTATTGAGAAATTCGAGTGTCTCGTTCAGAGATTCGAGTCTCTCGTTCAGGGACTGGATACGAAATGAGGATCTCTCTTAGCGACTCGAGTCTCTCGTTCTTTTGACAGTCTCGTTGTTTTGACAGTCTCTCGACAGTCTCTCTCAGCGACACCAGAGAGACTCGATGAGAGACGGAGACTCGAGTCTCGCTTTCAGAGTCTCTAAGAGACTGAACATTTTTATCTCGGTTTATAATTAACACATCTTACAAAATCGTATCTGCTTTTATTGTTTTTATATTGTACAATTCATGTTTGGAGTTTCTGTTTGTCTAAATTAATTTTTATTGACAGGATCTATCAAGATGTACAAATCTGTTTGAATAATTTTTAAAAATTGTACAAAAACGTTGATGTTGGGATGTGTAGGATAAAAGTCTTTACTCAATCATCTGTGTTAAACCATAGTTAATTAATAACCTTTTAGCATAATCTTAGCCGATCTGATTAGATAATTGGGGAACGTAGAAATGGCAGGGTGAATACAGCCGGAAAGCCGCCTCACCACCCTGCATTTTCGTGATCTTGAATTCTACTCCCCGGTTATTAAATATTAATTCCGTTATTTAACTGACCGCTAATTGGCCTACTTACACATTAACTAAGTAAGTATTGCAATTTTAACTAAATAATTTCGATGTATCAGTGACCGAAATAAAAATTTATGGATCTGTATAACAATATCATGTAAATATTATCATATATATTTCAAATTCAATATAGATGACATTCTTTTATAATATGACGAATAAATTATAAAGTATTATATTTATTTTAATAAATAGTTTTCAATTCTAAGAAATACTCCTTTCTACAATAGCTATATTTATGATATTATATAATCTCATTCGTTCCAACTACGTTTCTTATCATTGACTAAGAGATCTTTATAAAAGCATTCAAAACTTTTTTGTGAATGCAGCATTTCGAAGAAATTCCCGGTAAGAATTTTAACTGGGAAGCTGGAAAAGTTTAGACGTGATTTACGCAATCATATTCATTAACAGAAAATTAGTCGGATTGCTGAATGTTAAAAGAAATGGCAATTAGTAAAACTTTTCACAACGTAGCTGTCTTATACTTTTTAGTTTGAAAACTGCCTCATCTGCAACTTTTCTTCTAAAGATGCAATTTTTCAGTTGCAAAATGATCTCCAAGTTTTAGGAAGAAGACTTCTTTGAAAAATAAAAATTAAGCGGGCAACAAAATAGTTAAATTAAGGATATAATTTTATACGTACGTGTTGAAGTTTTAAATAGAAAATGGACTAAAATAAAGCAAAGTAACGAAACTGACTGTGTAATTTGCACGTCTAGGAAAAGGTGCAAGAACTTTAATTAGCGTGTATGTTTTGACTGTATAGAGTGATAATAGTTGCAAATGTGAATCTTTCATTTTACTCTAGAAGCTCTCATTTACAACTTAAATAATTTATTTAGTGCTCATATAAATTAATTCTATTTTTTTTCGCTTCTCGATGCCTCAAGATATAGCGGAGACAAGGTGTATGACATCAAACATTGTTTATTAGTAATTATTTAACATAATTGAAGAAGTCTTCAAGCGTCAAAATATGTCTGCAAAATATTTTTTTATTAATTGTTAGCTACNATTCTATTTTTTTTCGCTTCTCGATGCCTCAAGATATAGCGGAGACAAGGTGTATGACATCAAACATTGTTTATTAGTAATTATTTAACATAATTGAAGAAGTCTTCAAGCGTCAAAATATGTCTGCAAAATATTTTTTTATTAATTGTTAGCTACGTATTTCTGCTAAGTATTTCGGAATATAACATAAGATTTTTATTTTTTAACACATCATAAGGTTATCGGTCCTAAGACTGACTGGACACGCACCTCCACTCTTTCCTATACTGAGTTAATCTTCGCATTTCCCTAGAAATAAAGCAACCCACATCTTTAACTAATTGCGAACACTAATCTAATCTAGGTCTACCTCTACCCCTCCTAACTCCCGTTTGTGCCTCTAATATGTCTCTGACCAGACCTTCATGCCTAAGAAGGTGTCCTACCAACCTATCTCGCCTATTCCTTAGTGATTTCCATAGAGTCATCAGTTCTCCTATTCCTTCTAATGCCTCTTTATTTCTTACCTTCTTTATTCATGGTATCCTTATCATTCGCCTGTAACACCACATTTCAAACGCTTCTAACCTTTTCTTTTCCGCAGCGCCTACCGTCCATGTTTCGCACCCGTATAGCGCCGCGCTCTAAAAATACAACTTTTATAATCTTTTTCGAATTTCTAAATTAGCCGTTCGCGAGAATAGAAGTGAGTTCTTTTGATTAAAATTAACTCGACCCTGTGCTATCCTTTGCTTTATATCCCTACTACTCCTTCCGTCCTGACTTATTTGACTTCCTGTATATCTAAAATCAGCCACTTCTTCTAATTTTTCATCTCCTATCTTTATTTTAGTTTTTTCCCTACCTTTTCTTGCATACCAGTATTTTTGTTTGACTTTTATTTATTTTCATACAATACTGTTTTATAAATACCGCTTCACCCTACGGGGACTTTCAATATACCAGGGAAGCTATAAACTAACCGATTTTCAATAAAAAGAGCGGGATGTTTATGAAGGATACGTAATTTTCATTTACTGAAAGTAGCCTAGGCATCTTCATCAACTAAACCTTAAAAAATATTTTTCTTTTCCGGATTGTCTTAAATTTCATAAACACCTACTACAATTAGAAATTTGTAAAACATCTTGATTTGCTGAAACAGTTTTTGAAAATTGGGGAAAATATCGGACGAGTAAAAAGTCTCTTGTTTCAGTTTCCGGCGAAGAGGAAACGGAAAAGCTGCCTTGCATTGTCTACGTCCACGGAGAGAGTTACGAGTGGAACTCCGGAAATCCGTACGACGGAACAGTTCTCGCATCCTCTGGCAAGGTTATTGTGGTCACGATAAACTTTAGACTGGGAGTGTTAGGTAAGATTCATGTTATTCTGTGTAAAAAACTAACATGACGCAGTCTGAAAATTCACGTATATGTTTGTAATAATACACATACGTGTGTATGTATTGACCAAACCCGAATTCAGTAAGTTTTGGCTAAACATTAGTCCTTACAGGTTTGTTCTGGACTGGTACCAGCCAAATCCGATTTCACTATAAACTACTTTTGTCTAACCCAAAAGGCCAAACTAAATTTTAAATTCCTAATAAGGACAATCTAAACCGTAGATTCCCAACGATGACAGTAACGCATCCCACTGTTTTTTAAGGATAAATTTAAAGAGAAACGGGATGGCTCAATAAAAAATACATTAAATGATTGACAAATTATTAACCTTTAATAATAAAAACAATCAAACATAACAAAAACCAGAAACCTTATCAAAATGCCTATCAAACTAAAAAACTCCAAAATCGAGATTTGACTTAGGGTGCTGGTAATTTGGAATATAGTATTCCAAATTACACTTACACTTTTTTCACATTTGCTAACACTTTTCCTTGGAAACTAAAAGATTTCTTATCTTTGTAACAGTTTTATAGTCTTTAGATCTTTAGATAATCAATCTTTTTTAAACAAAATAAACTAAAATAACATCTAATTAATTCCAAATTATGCTCTCTTTCGATATTCCACATTAACAACATGCCATCCCAACATAAAATTCCATGTCACATTTTTAATTGTAGGTATATTCACAAAATCATAGTAGCATCATAAACTAACAAGGTCAATTAATAGTTGAAATAATTACAAAGTGGCGTCCCGTTCTTAATACTCGATGGGTTCGTGTGTCGTATGACTATGTTTACGGTAAAAAAATACAGATAACGTTTATAATTATTTAGAGATCGAAGTATTCCAAGTTACCTGCAGTATCCCAAATATGCTGCAGTTCCTCTACGTCTAATAAACCTTTTTTGATTTAAGTTTAAGTTTGGCCTTAGCAGTCAGTTTATCAAATCGGATTTGACCGGTGACGTAATGTCCAATTAACCTTCTAAAAAGTGTTTATGTAATATATAAATATAAACTGTTACATAATACAAAAAACAATATAAAAACAATTTTAAAGAACTGATGCAAAGCAGAATCGCCCAAATACTTAAACAAAAGTAGTTGTTGTAAACGGTTAATTCTGGAGGCAATGTAAACAATTCCTAAACATACGCTATCTTGTCGTTTCTATAATGTATCGACGTATGGTAGATAATAACATCAGTTCATAAACTTTCTCTGCATATCGCATCTCATAATATCTCGCTTTATTAATGTGAACTGACAAAGATAAACTACAGGAGATGATAATGCAGTGATCGTATTATAGATAGTTACCTACATAACTTTAATAGGTAATAGCATGAAAGCATTCTAGATAGATAATAGTGATTTTATTTGCGATGTTAGCACCTTCGTCGTAAAGAGGATGTAACTACAGTTAGTAGTGGTTACCTTTTAATGATAGTTCAAGTATAAAATTGTACATATATCTGCTGACGTATTAAAACATAATTAACAATAAAACTTAACTTAGAGAATTCGTAAGTTTTAGACTTTAGTAGGCTCTCTTGTTAATGGCTGCATCGGCTATAACAAATTTGTCGGACTTGGAATACAAATAATGGGAAAAACTACATGGTTTTTGTAAATATTCTGCTTTAAAACACAAATAATTTAAATGGGAAGTCGACATGAAATCGATGATCATTGAGAATAATACGTTCGCCTGCTTATTAACCTTTCTCGCGTCTTAAATTTTGCAATGTTAAATTATAAACAATAGATAAACGTTTTTCTATTTAAAGTATCACTCTAAAATATAGTTATATGGAGCATAGCATAAATTTGATATTAACAGTTACAAGATCAAAGTCTTAACGATTTCTTAACAAAAGAAGTAACATCGCTGAATAAATTATAGCATAAATGTAATCGATTGGTGTTATTGGCGATTATTCTCATGGGCGTAGCGAGATATTTTTCTTGTAGGGGAGCAGATTTTCAATAGCTGTAACTTTATTGTAGGTTTAAAGTGTCTAGTTTCTATGTTTTAAAACTTTATGCTGATACCGTGACTCATCAGAGCCTTTTCCAGGGGAGGCAATGAACTTGCCACGGGGGGGTAGTACACTCCTTGCCCCTACCTATCTACACCCATGATTATTCCGTATTAAAAAGTCAGGAAATATTTTCTTTTATGTATGAGGCAGATTAATTAAGTCCCTGTTAGAAACTATAAAATTTTCAAACCATCTTTTTGCTTATTCTACACAAATTGTTTGCACAGTATGACAAACTATGTACTTCCGTAAAATATTTTCCGAAGGTGCTAAATGCAAGATAGAAAAACTAGTCATTTTAGTAAATGGTAAACGATAACTGAACAATGTAAAATGTTGAAAGAACGCATCCTTTTACTAAACCTCAATCGTTCATTGTTATCGGCACTGGAAGAAGCACCGCTCTATACATTGTGTAATAGCGAGAACCTTGTCACTCTCTAGCTTTTCCGCTTTCAACATGAGCAGAGAAAATTGCGCTTTTCCTATGTATCAGCGTGTAAACGATTTCCTAGCGTACGAAACCTAAAAGGCATCGGTTTGTTCGAATCTCTATTTATTACGAATAGGATTATTTTACATCAAATAAGTTGTAACTTCAAGACTACAAAAACTTTGATTGATATTGCCATTTTTTTTCCAAAACAATTATATAATTGTAATAAATCAAGCTACATACAAAGGGTAAATTCTTTATATTTTTGTGAAACCACAACCGATGTTTCGCTTCAAGTATGAGACATCGTCAGGAATAGGTTTGCATCAAAGTGTGTGAATTCAACGTTGTAGTTATTTTGTTGCAGTTCATAATAATATGAAACATGGTGAATTAGAATAATTAATTAATTACAATTATAATAGCACACCGTAATATCAAAATAATAAATATTATAAAGAGCAACAGGCAGTTATAGAACTGGAGCAGCAACGTAGAGAAGTAAATATTAGGAAGGGAGTCAGACAGGGATGCCCACTGTTACCGCTACTTTTTAATCTATACATTGTAGTCGTGATCAACATCATTAAAGACAGTACAACTGTAGGGAAGGATATACAGGGGTAAAAGATTAATATGCTTAAATTTGCAGATGATATAGCAGTATTAGCATCTAGCAAGGAGGAGTTAGAGATAGCTTTAAATAAAATGGAAGTGGTATTGATAAAACACTATTGTATGAAAATAAATAAAAATAAAATAAAAGTACTGGTATTCAAGGGAAGAAACACTAGCGAATATAAAGATAGGAGACGAAAGATTAGAAGAAGTGGCTGATTTTAGGTATCTAGGACGTTAAGACGGATGAAGAAGTATGGATATAAAGCAGAAGATAGCGCATGGTCGAGTCGCCTTCAATAAAAAAAGTCACAGAAGTCTTTCAGATTCATTTTTAGAGGTTGCTGAAGTTATTTAAATAAAACTGTGTACACTAATTAGGTAGGTAATTAGGTCTTTAAACAACAGCTCATGTAACAATCTACCTAACATTTGTTTAGGTCTCTATAGCTAATGATTATTGGCACTGATCATGAAAACCGATAATATTGTTTTTTTTATACGCCTGATTTTGTTTTATTTTTAATCTAGTTAGTGTATTTAACGTATTTCACCACTCGATAAGCAACCGGATTGTTTCTACTATTATAAATATTAATTTAAAATCCGTATTTGGCGAAGGCGCCAGGGAGATTTATAAGTATGATATATATTGCTTTGATAAACTAATTTAAATATAAACCGTTTATTTTCGTTTAGATGGATAAACAAATATTGCTTCAATTCTATTGCAAACATTACGTTAAACATATTTTAGAACGAGAATAAATTCAATAGTACACCCAACGTTATTTCAAACAATCCTGTTTGCATTGATGTATTAAAATAATAGCATATGTAACAAAACAAACTAACTCAAAAGCGTATATTCTGTCCTATCTAAGTTTTTACTTGAATGCTCTGAATGACAAGCTAAAGGAACAATCTCGACACATTGTTAAACTAGTTCGTTGTATGCCTTTAAATTTACATGAACTCCGGACTCGGGACTCCGACTTTAGAGCTGAATCCGTAAATGCGGTGACGCTTTGTGAACGATGTTTTGTCCTCTCTCATGCCCAGCATTTATTGGAAAAGCCTTTAAACGACCGAAAGTCCACTTAATGCAACTTCAGTGCCCATATGTAGGACACTCACTTCTTCCTGTCTGAATAATATTATCTGGTCTCTCATGTCCTTCTGCAAGCTCTTTTTTGTTTAACATTCACTTGTTTGTTAGTTTTCAGTTCTCATTTTCATTATTTTTGTTTAGTACCAACTGGGTAATCTGAAATTATATAGGTAGTATTTGCGGATCAAGAAAATACAATGAGGAAAATTTAAATGGGAGGATAAGTCATGGGAAAGAAGAAAGTATGACCAGTACCTTACGCAGATTATATAGTATTGATGGCAAAAATGAAGAGGGGATGACAGAAATGGAAGAACACGGATAAATCGAAGAAAATGAGAAGCAGAAAAGGTGGTGGAAGAACGAAAAAGGTAATGTTTACATGGGAAGGAAAAGAAATTAAAGAAGTAAAAATTTATAACTACCTAGACTACTTCATACAGAAAAGCAACGGGAACGAAGAGCAAATAAGAAACTTAAAAAAAAAGGCAACTGCAGTCTTAGGGAAAGTATGGAGCATATCTGGCAGGGATTTCAAGAAAAGTGGGGAAATAAGTATATTTATTTAAAGTACCTACTGGTATAAAGTACACTGATATAAGGAGCGAAAATATGGGGATCCTCAGGGCACAAAGAAATCGAAGGAGTATAAAACAACTACTTAAAATAGATCCTCAGGCTTGGTCAAACAACAACCTACCTACTAAAATTAGAAACAGACACAGAAAGGATAGCAAGTAAAACAAG